ATGAGAAAATGAAGTTGTAACATGTAATGCACAACTCTTGACATAGTTAATTTTATGAATATAAATAAATAAATTTCCATGTGGTGGATGCGTTAATCACATATAATTTTTGAATTATTTAATATGTTTTAAATATATAATTCAAGTGATATTATTATGAGACTAGTAAATACATGTTATAATTTGTTTTCTTGATAATGTTTTGTTTCATCGAATTTTTTGGCAGGACTTTTAATGAGGCAAAAAATTAATGTACTATTTTTTATTCATTAGAATTTTTTTACATGATTTTCCTAATCAAGTTTTAACGAGACATATTCTTTGCATAATGAATGTTAATAAACCATAAGATATTTACTTTCAAAATAATACTTTTATATATTACAAATTGTGTACAAGATTCCTGAAAAGAACAATAAAAGATATATTCTTTTATTTAATCATGGTGCTACTATAAAAATCTTTTATGAAGATAATATTTTGAAGGCTATAACAAAACAATACAAAACATACTTTTCTTGAGTTGTAACATTGAAGACATAGGCATACAATAAGCTGATGACTCAATACAACAATTCTCATTAATTGAAATCTTGGAGAGTAAACGTGCTCTTTTTACTTCACTCAAATTTATCTATTGAATTTTTTGACAAAATTTTTACAAATTAGCATTTTGATTTCACCGAACTAGGTTTTTATCGAAACAAATGTTATGCAAATAACCATTAAAGTGGGACTGATGTAAAATTATGAAATAATTATTTATGGTTAGTTAACCTCATTAGGATATGTAGATAAATTTTACTGTAGAAGTTTGTATCTTGATCAATTTATAACTCTCTTTGAAACCTTATAAGAGTCATTGTTATAATGAAATATATACTTGAATTTTGATTATATTACTTTTCTTCTATTGTTCTTCAGTTTTCTCTTAGTTTTGTAACATTGGCTGAATTTTTTGAAAGCAATAATATTAACCAATAATAATGGTATTTAGTAGAAATAAATTGTACGTTCAGAGTATTGTTGACAATAAACATAAAAATGTAAGGATAAAATAAGAAGTTGATGTTTCCCACCTGTTGTTGTTAAAAAATAAGAAAAAATTTTAGTCTAAGTGCAAAATTATCTTATTGAAAAATGTATGGTTAAAAATGGGAGAGAAAAAATATATATTTTGAAAATAATGAGGATCAAATATTAGGTGGGATGATGATAAGTGGTTTTAATAATATTGTTTGTTAAAGACCTCCAATTAACTTCTAAACTATAGTGCTTCCCATCTTTTATCTAGATAATGTTATTTATACATAGCAAAACTTATAGCATCATGTCAGCATCAAAGTTCTCCCCGCTATATTTTGATGGTCAAACCTAATATTTTCATCTAATGATTTTTAATATTGCAATATATGTACATTCTCTCCACTACAGTACATTAAGATTGACATTAAAAGAATTTTACGATTACATATTTAGTTTCAATGCTAATAAAATATTTTAAGCCCTAACAAGTGATATTTTGTATCATGTTGTGCTGACTTTCAATTTGACTGGACTGCTTTCTAAACATTATGGGAGAAATTAGTAGCTGAAAAAAAATTTAAAAAGCATCATATTGTACTGGCTTTTTAGATATTAATAAAATCTCATATATGTACTACAGATGCTTTATCTCATATTGGTGTCTTAAAATGATAAATTATTAGGATTATATAAATGGCACTCCTAAAGCATGGTGACATTCGATTATAAAGATAAAAATTTTAGAATAAAAAAATGAAGCAAATAATGAAGATGGTCCGGCCAATTTATGCGGTGTACTCTTCGAGAAAATGAAGACATAACTAATTTTATAAAAATAAAATTAAATTAAAAAATCCCAGAAGAGTTTCAAGTACTTGAAATGTTGAAAGTGAAAATATCTTAATAAGTTATATTGTTGTGTCATAAAATTTGATCAAGAAAAAGTTGTCAAAAATAATTTTTTACATGATGTACCAATACTGCTTCATATTATGAATATCGATAGTAGGAAAATAAATTTGTTGAAGAATATAGATTGAAGAAATGATTAGCTCCTATTAAAATCAAATTTACTAAAGAAACTTGAAGTTTCTAGACAGACAATCTGATCACCTAAATGTGTGTATTTATACTAAAAGGGTATGAGAAAATGAAGTTGTAACATGTAATGCACAACTCTTGACATAGTTAATTTTATGAATATAAATAAATAAATTTCCATGTGGTGGATGCGTTAATCACATATAATTTTTGAATTATTTAATATGTTTTAAATATATAATTCAAGTGATATTATTATGAGACTAGTAAATACATGTTATAATTTGTTTTCTTGATAATGTTTTGTTTCATCGAATTTTTTGGCAGGACTTTTAATGAGGCAAAAAATTAATGTACTATTTTTTATTCATTAGAATTTTTTTACATGATTTTCCTAATCAAGTTTTAACGAGACATATTCTTTGCATAATGAATGTTAATAAACCATAAGATATTTACTTTCAAAATAATACTTTTATATATTACAAATTGTGTACAAGATTCCTGAAAAGAACAATAAAAGATATATTCTTTTATTTAATCATGGTGCTACTATAAAAATCTTTTATGAAGATAATATTTTGAAGGCTATAACAAAACAATACAAAACATACTTTTCTTGAGTTGTAACATTGAAGACATAGGCATACAATAAGCTGATGACTCAATACAACAATTCTCATTAATTGAAATCTTGGAGAGTAAACGTGCTCTTTTTACTTCACTCAAATTTATCTATTGAATTTTTTGACAAAATTTTTACAAATTAGCATTTTGATTTCACCGAACTAGGTTTTTATCGAAACAAATGTTATGCAAATAACCATTAAAGTGGGACTGATGTAAAATTATGAAATAATTATTTATGGTTAGTTAACCTCATTAGGATATGTAGATAAATTTTACTGTAGAAGTTTGTATCTTGATCAATTTATAACTCTCTTTGAAACCTTATAAGAGTCATTGTTATAATGAAATATATACTTGAATTTTGATTATATTACTTTTCTTCTATTGTTCTTCAGTTTTCTCTTAGTTTTGTAACATTGGCTGAATTTTTTGAAAGCAATAATATTAACCAATAATAATGGTATTTAGTAGAAATAAATTGTACGTTCAGAGTATTGTTGACAATAAACATAAAAATGTAAGGATAAAATAAGAAGTTGATGTTTCCCACCTGTCCACACTTTTTATAGATTGTAGATTTGTGTACGGTCAAACTTTTAATGAAAAGCTGAATACCGCTTATAAGTTGAAGTAGTATTAAATATAAAATTTAAAAGATGTATAACAGGACTTATATAATTGCTTAAACTGACTATCAATCCCTTTCTTTCATAAACATGAACAATATTTGATCAGGATGTGAAGAGATAAATCTTACATCAATTAAATAAGTAAATTATAAATAATATATAAGAGCTTGAGTTGTTGCTCCTAATAAAATTGGCCTTTGAAGACGTAAGATCTATTATGGCATCAAAACTTATATGTTGAAATGAGCAATTCAATCCAACTAAAAATCAAATAAGTACAATAATTTCAAAATCGATGTTATTAAACGAGCCACCATCTAAAAGGAACATGTTAAAAGGATGTATCAAACATTGAATTAAAATGCTTAACAATAAGCTCTTCTTTGAAACCAATTTTCCTTTTTACAAGAAACTTGACCGTTGGTCTTTAAAGTAACATTTTCTTTATCCATTTCATCAGACACAAAAGTGACATATAACAGTACCGTTAATGAGTTTTGATTTCAGTTTACCAATTTTGCCCTTCTTTCCAAAACCAAAACATGCATACATCTAGCCAAAAATGGGTGGTATGAATGAAAATCATACACAATTTATCAATAATCAAATACATATGGCATTGAACGGTAGGCCCTACTGATGTAGTTGGAAAATGAATTCTTTGGACAAAAATGGCACCAAACAAGCGCTAAATAATATGTAAGAGTATAATTTATTTCTCTCAATAAAGTTGACATTTTAAAATAAAATCGCAATTCTTAATCCCAAAAACGCTATTATCGTTAGATGTTACATGTCTTTTAATTGAACTCTGAATTCGGTACTAATAATATTGTCGAACAATAGAATACACATCAACAAGGCAACAATCATCATTCGTACTAGGATTAGCAGGCGAATCCCACTATTATTCTCTGCTCGGAAATGATTATTAATAATATTTTAAGAGCGTTTTTAGATGAATAGTGATGGAGACTACAAAATGTGTGACAATAATGGATGGTGATATCGAATGTGTAAAGTTTTAACTGAATAGTAAAAATAACTTTTAGATTACTAGGACTGTTAGACTGAAAATATATAAGCAAGCATATTTACTGGCAGTTACTGAATTATCAGGATAACTATAATTTTTTGAATCATATTAGTTCACTAAATTTATAATTTATTTTAACACAAGGCACTCCGTTCATTTAATTTCAATTACTGTATTATACTAGGAAAACCAATGGAATGGAATCATTAGAAAGGACCAACATCATTTGACTTTTTCGATGGTATGCCTTGTTATCGATATATTTAAGTTAATATTTTTCTTATGAATTAAGGTCTTAACATTAATCAAGGAATTAATGGCCGAACGACCTATAGTAACTTCAAATCAATCGACACCTCTTTTATAAATTAAAAATCTTGATTGTCAAATTCTCCGATTGAGACTCTCTCACAAGGGCTTTGCTATTTGTATGCCGGGGTGTACAACCCTCTCACAATAGGGGGCCTGAGCATAATAAAAAAGGATTACACTACTATGCCAAATGAATTGTGATATAGAGGTTGACAAATTCCTAGGTAGATGGAAATGATAGAATAGAAATAATGACAATGTTTAAAATTATCCAATAATAGATTGTCATTTGACATTATATTTGTCAACCTATCTGTCAACTAGAATGATATTGTAGCATGAGTGAATAAAAATCGTGGGCCCCTCTATTGGGAGGGGGGCATGTACATAGCAAAACCCCTCTCATAATTCCATTCAATTATATAATGTATGTCGGCCTGTAAACTATAGGATGACCTTGTGGAGCTAAATTTCGATTATAGTTTATAATGTATACTTGATAACTAATGTAAAACTTTATTTAAGACATGAGTATTTATAGGAGAAAATGGGAGAAACTTTAGAACATGAGCATGTTCACAAGATCAACTTGAATAACATTACATGCCACCAATCTACGGCCAAGCTCTGCCATCAAATGGCGAACATCAACCCCGGCAACAAGCGTTTTGTGAGATCTCGCGGGTGGCTCTGCCACAAAGTGGTGGAGCTTGAACACCTAGAAGGCCTCAAATCCTTAACAGTGAGCCAAGTATTGAAATATTCTCTAAACTGAGTGATGAAACCATCTTTTAGGGTCCAAACATGCACCCAATAGACTTGAGCCCCTTCCCAGCCCTCCACTATCACGCATTCATCAATGGAGTCGATGCTTCGAGGCTCAAATTTGAATTCGGTGGTAGAGCATTTTCCGGTGAGCATTTTCATCATGTGGTGGCAGTTTTGAGGGCCGTGGAACCACCACTCTAGGTCGGTGGCTATGAGACCAGCCACCGTGGCGGTGTCTCCACTTGCTAATCCTTTGTAAAGGGTGTTTACAATGGCCTTGTTATGGTTCTCCAGTGGCGCCGGCGCCGCCGCCAATGAATCAGCATTTGTTATTTCCATTGTGCAGTGTGTGAGTGAAAGGAAATGTTTGTGAAAAGGCTTAGTTGGTTTTTGCATGGTAAGGCCAAGTGGAGAGCCCTTTTATATAGGAAATTTTAGAGAGGAAGGGGACCCAACAACAAATGATGACAAATTATAGACTTCCAATCATTCAACTTGTCAAATCAAGATTGCAATATTGAGTTTAATCCCTAATTGAGTCTCGTTCTCAAAAAATTCATTTATATTCAAATTTACTATTAATTATATATTTTTCAATAAAAAAATTTGTACATAAACTTAAAAAATAATAATAATTATAATTTTTAACCACACATTCGTAAAAAATTCACTATTAAAAAATCCATTTTCCTCAAAAAAGGACCCAAACATAGCTAGCTAAACAAGAGTAGATAGTGATCCAATGCAACCCTATCAGCGAAATGTGAGAAAAGAAAAGAAAGGAAATTCCATGGATCGACTCATCATCTCCACTGATAAGAATTATGAGATCGCCCTTATTGTACCTTTGGCATCCAATTATGTCACTGATCTACTATAGAACTCTGTTCAATAAGATAACATGTTAGCTATCTATTAACATATCAAGGTATTTTAGTAATTGTAATAATCGAATTTATTGATTTTTTGGAGTCATTAGAGATTAAATTAAAAGTCTATTGATTTGTTTGTGCAACTCCTGTTAAATGAAGATAACATTTTACCTTTTCAAGGCTACATGGACAAGGGGAAATAATTTGAAGTCTAAAGGGGAGCTACCATGTGCACGTCTCATTCTGTCTTTTTTTTCTTTTTTCTTTTCTTCTTTTTTCTTCCTAATATAATGAGCCTACTTATATCCTAAAAAGTGCATGTACACCTTTGCTATACTTTTCTTTTCACATAGAAGATCGTCCATTTACAAGATGATGAAATATATGGCAAATGATTTTACGTATAAAAGTAAACCGAATAATCACGTCTTCTATGTTTTTATTCCTTTAGATGTTTTGATATATGGAAATTATTCTCGTTAATAAAAATTGTAAAGTGGAATTATAGAATGGCCTATTCTATTTATCGAGTTTAATTATGTAGGGTCTTTTTGAGCTATACAACTCACCTTTGAAAGTAACTAAAAACAATATAGAAAAAATTGTGAAATCTTAGCTTGCACCGGTACCAGATAAATACAAAACAACATAGTTCATCTTCATACATATAATTACAATTTTTAATCAGCTTATTATTTTTGTGTATGTCTCATTATCACTTCTTAATTATAATCGAACAACAACAACAATGTCGTTTTCTGTTTATTTTTTTAATTACTTTCTCATTTCATCTAAGAATTATTCCACTTTGATCCTAGCTGTTGGGTTTTTGATACCCAATAAATCCCGGGCTATGATGTTAACGTGGGTTAATATTATTTCATAGGCATAAGCCGATGAATGAAATAAGTCCAACAACCAAGTGCATGAGCTACACCCGACCCAATTGTTTTCCTTATGGATGGCTTGAATCTTGGCCCGTTTACCTCTTTAATGGCCCAACATAAAACCTAACCCTAGAGTATATATTTGGTTATAACCCTAGCCACTTTAATATAATGATTGTGTGATTTTGAGAGAAGAAACAAGAGAATCCAGGCTGACCTCCTTTGTGTGAGAAAAAAGGTGTCCAGAAGTGTCCAGAACGTTGGTATAATATGTGCAATTGGTGGTTCTTTCATAGTATACCTTTGTGGTGTCTTCTCTTAGCTTTTGTGGCGATAAATCATCATCCTTTCTTGTCCTACGCGGGTAAGATTGAATAGCAACCAAGGTGAATCAATTGGTTGTGGTTTGGAGCCGTTTGGATTGGTTGTTGTTAGAGAAATGTACGTTGGACTGAGCCTGAAAAACTACCGTTTGAAGATCCTTTTGAGAGAGCTTCCGCAACACCAACTCTTCTTGCTTCATAATATTCTCTTGCATGTCCGACTCACTAAATGAAAGAAGATAAAAGAAAATATATTTTCAAATACCACTTATTGATTAGGTGGCTCATATTTTTTGTATGTGCAGGCTAGGTGATGGAGCGGAGGGATGAGGCAATAGCTTAGGATCTGTAGCGTAATCAACTACTCCATTATGTTTTTTTTTTTTTTTTTTTTTTTTTACAAGGTGTCCGGGCTTGCGTCCGACTAGATCCTTGTCCCTGAACCTCCGGCCCCTCAGCAGCTCAGGGAGGTAAATCGCAGGATGTGCCCTTGTTGGCTCCCAGGTTCCCACAACTCATTGGTGTGAACAAACGCCCAGTGAGGAGAGCTCTCTTTGCGGAATCAACTACTCCATTATGTTAGACGCATGTAAGATAGTCTACTCTTGGGTACAATACGATATTATGTCAAACCACTTATATTTCTATACGTCAATCTTTAGGCATATGAGAGCCGAATTTATGACCCCTCATTCATTAGTTAATAAAAATATAGTTTACTCAAGTATTAGAAATATATTTTTTACCTCTAAATTAATTATTTTATTTATACACACACATTATTGTTACTTTTCGAAACATACATTTTTGAAATATTGTCGTTTTTTTTTTTTTTTAACATATACATAAAATTCCCTATATTATGGGAGAATTCGTCACTTAAATTGACAATTTTATAGCAAAACACTATCTTCGTTTGGAACAATTTATATAAATATTCTCTATGTCTACGGCATTGTAAAAATATTTATTTGGCAAATGCAACATTATTATAGCTTGTCCCAGAAAAGAACATATTTTTTTCTCCATTTTGATTATAGTTAATAATCATTATCATTATAATTAAATTCCTATAACATGACTTCGACTTCAATCGAAACCAATAGTCTTGAAAAATAGTTTCGAGAATGCAAAAACATACCTATGAAAAAGATTGTGAATATTCTTTTCTGGATACTCTAACGCTTAAGTTATTAGATTGATCATATAAATATTTTAGAATAGCATTTAGGAGTATGTAATTTTGTGGCATTTAGAATATATATGAAGAGCTTGTACGAAGATTTATTTACGATTAGCATAAGTCACGTGTGTGACACAATCCTATTTAATGTGAACCCGTGGACTTCTATTAATTGGAACAATAAAATTTCATTGTAAATATTCGACTTGACTCTTAATAGTTTATAGAATTAATAAGTATTGATTACATTAATTAGGTGAACTATAGTATAATAATAGTTAAGAATGTCCTTTATAAAGTTTAAGATGTTCCAATAATCAAACATAAGGAAATGATCTAAATGGCACCGGTGCTTAACTTATGTTAAGCACCGATAACATGACACGTCATTTGATTGATGAATAAGTTAATGATAGGTCCCATGAATTTAATGATTCACCAATTAATTGTTGTGATATATCATCGGTGTTTAATATAAGCTGAGCACCGGTATCCATTAGATCATTTCGCAGACATTTACACTTAAATTAATTCAAAAATCTCTCAATTTGAATTATTAAGATATCAATTCCGACTCATAAGACTTCTACTAACCTAATTTAAATCCTAACAACCAAACCCCTATCCAAAAATAAAATAATAATAATAATGATAAATGAATAAAATCACCTCCCCAAATCTCAAATAATGTCGATACCAGTTGGATCCAACCAGGTGCCGCTCGTGTACACAGTTGGAACATTCTCCCATAAAACACACTCATCCATTATTTGGACTGTACAATGACTGAACTTAAAGTTGGACACATACCCTACACCTACCTCCCCCACTCCCACCCCTCAAAGTATATGGGAGCTGTATATTAAGTTAAGGTCTCTTTCTTTACCTATCATTTCTTGGAACTTTTGAGAATTCTTGTCTGTAAGAATTTATGGGGTAGAGGAGTTCCAACCCCACCCCACCAAACAGAGACACAGACAGTACAATAAGACGTGTGCATTAATTTAGTGCATGCATGTAAGAATTTTATCCACAACCTTTGAATGTCACTTCATAATTGCATCCACTTGAAATTGATGTATGATGATTTCAAGTTCTTTACTAAAAGAAAGCTAGATCAGACCATCACTAATGGTTAGCGTTGGAAATTTATTTTGTTGTTCTTCATCCACTTTTTCAGGTTTTAAGCCCCCTTTTTTTTTTTTTTTTCTACATATAATCAGGGGCAGAGTTAGAATAAAAAAATCGTGAGGGCAATTTTCACAAGATTTTAATTGTGAGAGCAAAAATTGAAAACTGCAAGGAAATTTTTGAAAATCTTGAGCAAATCTTGAAGCAGCTAACCCACTACCTCTATACTAAATCTGCACCAGTCTACTTTTAATTGATTTCTATTAAATTCCTTTCGGTTCAATTAGGTTCGTTGAGAACCCTAATTGGATTTAATTATGAGTATTTTGTACTTGTTTTTCATTTTAGGAGGTCTTGGCTATGTCTCCCTCGCTAGCTTCTATTCATTTTTATAATTAATAAATAATAAATTAATGTGATTTTAATTAAAGAAACAATATAGTGCCACTAAAAATTATTGATAACATGTAATTCTCTTATATCAATTATGATTATACCACATAACTCGTATTATCAAGTTTTATATTTGTCCCAAATTAGCTAACTTGCTAATGTGTCATCAATTATCTACTTCTTGAGAGCTTTCAAATGACGATCATTGAGAGTCATGAATTCAACTCTTGCTGCCAGCGTGCATCTTGCTCTCGAGGAAAGAAGAGAAGAATGTTGAGTTGAGATTTGATCTTTTGTGGCAATGAAGTTGATGTTTCAAAAAATATCAAGGAAAAATGAGTATCTCACTGGTCCATGTTTGGCTAATGTTTATAAACTATATAATCGGTCAAATAACTTTTTATCTACATATTTTGTAAGACTGAGACACACAAATACTATACATTCACCAATAGATAATGTAGTCTAAAAGTTTTCAACTATTTTTTACGTGCATATATTTTATTTTTCTTTGAGTACAGAAATTGCTCTTTTTTAAAATAAATTAAATCCAAGAACGACTATTTACCCTTTTTCTTTTCCTTTTTCCCTTCTGGTTTTGGTTATATCTTGAAA